TAATTCATTTCAGCTGACATACCTGCTGAAATTTTCCAGCAATTTCTGTTTATCTTGCTGGTTTATAAGCACAAGAGTATTGGAAAATTTCACACACATTGTACAGGGGTAAGAGAATTTGATATCTCAACATTAAACTGCTCAGTGGGAGGTGATGGTCTCGTGGTGTTATCACTAGACTATAAATCTATTCTTATTGTCCATCTTTACCCTGATCTGGCTGACTAGTGACTCCAGAAACACAGCAATGTGGTTCACTCTCAGTTGCCGTCTGAAATGGCCCAACAGGCCACTCGGTTGTATCAAACACTGAAAAGTCTCAACAACGAAATGCAGCTGAACCAGCTGGCATCGAGCTTTTCCCCGGAAAAGTGAACTGTAAGCACTGCCCTGTTCACCCTACATTGTCCTCCTTACTAACATAGAATTATACCAGTTCTGAGGAAAGGTCACCGGACCCGAAACGTTAACTCATTTTTTTCCTTTCACAGATGCTGCAAGACCTGCTGAGTTTTTCCAGCAACTTGGTTGTTGTTGTGCTGTTGTTGTGTAGAATGATACCTTACAGGCAATGTCCCAGACAGCACCATCATCTGATGTCTTTGTCCCAGCAGCAAGGAAAGTTCTCACAGGTTATCGCTTACCGTTCTCCCTCGGCTGAAGAATCAGGACACCTCCATGTTAAACAGCACTCAGAGGAAGCACTGGGGTTGCACGATTGCAGAATGTACTCAGTTGGGGGGGATGGTGGATTTCAATGCCCATCACTAAATGAAGGTTGGCAGCCACACGACTGATCAAGCGTAAAGGGCATAGCTGCTAGACTGGGCCTGGGGTAGTTGGTGAGGGAACAACCAAGAGGGAAAAACATATTTTACCTTGTCCTTAACCATTCTGCCCACTGCAGATGCATTTTTCCATGAGAATGTTGATCAGAATGATCGCTGAACATTTGTTCTGGACAGCAAATCCTGCTTTCACATTGAAAACACCATCCATAGTGTTGTGTCA